TCGAGCATACGACAACGTTCAAATGCGATCCGATAGGCGACCGGATCGTGGGCCAACAGAGCGGCATCTGGGATCGCACCGGATGATTCCAACCACTCGGCATCTGCACGAGCTTGAGCACTCGGAGACGTTTCTTCATCATCTTCATCCCCGTCTGCCTCCTCATCCTCCTCATCCACCTCATCCTCGTCGTCAACCTCTACATCCTCCTCGTCCCATTCGGTTTCCGTTCCCAAATCCGTCTCGTCCCGAGTTGTCGATTTCCGACGAGATCGGGTCGAGCTGTGCGGTGATTCAACACGCGTGTATGATGCATTTGAAGTAGTCGCTTTGTTTGTTTGAGCATCAGCAAAACGCACCTTGCGCTGTTTCTGACTACCCGAAGGTAGTTCAACCACACTAGATGGATGCAGAACCTAGGAGTTGGAGTTGGAGAGGGGGGGGGGTAAAAGTAGAATATACGTATTCTGTCCCGCTCAGTTTGTTCGCTTACTCTCAAGTCAGTGTTACTCAACTAGCGAGGAATTGGTGAAGTTCTTATCCATCGTACTAAATGTATCTGCTTCTGCATGCTATGCCGTAAATTGTCAATCGGAGCTTTTGGCACCCAAAAACAAAACTATTCACGTTTTTGTCCGGAATTTTCAAATTTTGTAAATCTAACATCGATTTGTCGCAGACACCATACAGAATGAACTTCAGATTCTTCTACTATACGCCGTGGTGTATAACACTTTAGTAATTTCTGCTTCTAGGCACTTTGTTCCGGTGTGAAAATAGGTCCAGTTTGTGAAGGAATCCAAGCGGATCGATGAGCGAATAGTAACGACTGGCATATCCAATACCCTTTTAGGTCTGCTTATTCGCGGATACACATTTAGGGATTGCATAAATTCATGTTATGCGTGGTGTAACAAAATGACGACAGTGACCTAATCTTCTGGGGGAGGGGGATCCCTAGCACAAGTCACGGTTCTTTCCGGATATTTGTGGGTTTCGTTGAAAAGATCGCTAGCCAGGCGAAGATGTACCATGTCCCTGGTTCGGTGGCTGAAAGTTTGTATATAACTCGTTACAGCTTCGATTCAATACAATACAAGTCCCCTGAAAGATTCCTGAAATAATATGCATTGCGGGAAACTCACAGCCAACGCTTCTTTATCTTTTCCAATACGTTTAAGCAAATTTCCGTAGGCCAGACGAGCATCCGCATGTCTGGGAGCAACTTCTTCGACAACATGACGATAGGAATCCAAAGCGTCGTCAATTTGACCAGCTTCAATCTGACTTTCTGCCAACAATGTCCACACCAAGGGGGTCTGCCGGGAACCGGAACGTAATAAAACAAAAACGAATGATAAACAAAAGTTTGAGAACAACAATGGTATGCACACGCAAGAATGTTTAAACAGGTGAACACAAATCTACCGTATAAAATGACTCGATTCCGAATAGCTCCAATCTCCTCTTCTTTACTGATCATCATCGTAATTCAAGTCATTAAAGAAACACTGTTCCGCATCCGATCGCGGCGAGAATACTCAATTTACACTACCTCAACTTTGTCAAACTGAGAGCCACGGATTTCCGCTTTTTATAGTTTCGCGATTACAGAATGATACCGATGACCATCGCCTCCATCGCGTGTATACGCACAGACAAACAGACAGACAGGGGGTTCAAACCATGAATCCCGGGGTACACAAGCGGCAATGGTCTACAGCTACTCCTCCGGTTGCATCATCTTCTATATATGCCGAAAACGTCAAAGTAAAACTAATAGCTTTGCAAAAAATGAAACCCCAGGTGCGGACAATATACACCAGAAATCTCTTATCTTTTTGGCGAATTACATATCCGAACGACTAGCCATCCTGTTCCAACGAATGTTCGACCAAACAACACTCCCGAAATCGTGGGACCAAGGGGTAAGTTTAACCATATACAAAGGTGACTGTCGTGGTGACCCCACTAATTACCGACCTGTAACCTTGCTGCCGGTGTTATCCAAAGTCATGGAGTTAATTGCTGCAAATTCTCTGATGGAACACCTAGAAACATACGACATGCTTTCGATAGTTCAACAGGGGTACAGGCGAAATTTATCTTGCTCCACAACTTACTCCTTGTTCAAGATGAATGGACCAGAACAGTCGACGATGGACGTGATTTAGCTGGACTTCTAAAAAGCATTTGATCGGGTTAATCACCAAATAATGTTACAGAAGCTCTACAATTACAGCATTCGTGCTTGATTGGATTGGAGCAGTCCTCCGACAACGGATCATGTCAGTCCGTGATTCCCTATCCGGTTCTATCAACGATACCCGCGGTGTTCCACAAGGGTCTGCACTTGGTCCTCAACTATTCCTTGCATTAATAAATGATCCATTGAATTCGCTGGAGCCAAAAACAATACAAGAAACACTTGGTCTAAGGAGAATGACATGGAATTGAAAGTTCCTAGATGCAAACTCCTATAACTACACCACAAGAGTAGATTCTCGTATTTCCTCGGAAATCAGCAGCTGCCGCATGTATCAAGTGAGAAGGATTTAGGTGTAATTGTTCAAGAGGACTTAAACTGCTCGATCAATTGAGCCAAGGCTTCGTCCGCTGCTGTGGCACATCTCACAACTAAAAATAACGCAAATTCGTTGAGGACTAGATCATCTGCTATCTCCAACCTGGAACTCTAAGTGACGTTTTACCTTTTTTCGCCGAGAAACGATTCAATTGTGTGCATATCCTATGGGGACAAGAGAAGCATTAGCTTGTAATATATTGTAATAATAAAACGTTGACTTTGGCTCAAGCTGCAAATTTATCTATTCAAGAGTATCCGAGCCGGTAATGAGACATCGGATTTGGCCTGTCATCAGCTCCAGCTTACGAAGAGATACAAGAAAAGAAAATTAAAAACCTGAAAACCAATAGTGCATGTCGAATCCATAGAATATATGAATCACTGAATGAAATTTTCCCGGAAGCCCACGACTGGCTTCGCGGTAATTGCCATTCATCAGATATGTGCATCCGATAATCTCACATCTAATCATCCATATACCTGAACCCCGACTGTATATTTTCATCATAAATCTCTGATGTCTGCGACACAGCGTGGTTTTTTTTTACTTGTCTCAAGCGTTTCGGCCTCGACAGATGTCGTCCGGAATGATCACTCACATCCCAATAGGATAGTCCAAGCTCGAGTTCACGTGAGGGTGAATCAGCTTTCCATAGCACGAATCGTTACGATCATAAGTTATCAATGGTGACATCATCTGGTAACACAATTGGACCGATTACAAATCACACACAGTGAAGAAACATTGTTGCATATGCACCCGGAAATGCATAAGTATGAAGCGTAATGATCAGGAATGCAAAAGCGTCCAGCTCTATGCTCTGGTTTGACTGTCTTGATTGGTTGCCGGTTCACGGACCAATCCCCGAAACTGGATCACTCACAATTCAGGAAAACAATATTCACGGAGAGAAGACCATATTCGGACAGACTCCATGAATATTGAGAATATCGTTAAAAGTGATATAACTAGTACAGTCTAGTCCTTGTCTTCGAGAAGGAGGCTTTGGATCCCGCCAGCCAAGTTCTATTAGCAGGAGTGATGACAGGTTAGCTACGCACTCAGGATGAAGCATCTATGGACATTGATCCCTCTGGTTTTAGGGAGTGAGAAAGAGACAGATTGCGTGATAAATCAAAATATCAACATCCTCATATATCGCCGTTAACCGTGTGTCAGCCTCCTCGGCGAATTAAGGTTCACCTACTCATGGTTACCCACCCGAATGGCCTCTGCACCAATTACCCGTGACCTGGAGGAACGCCTGGTAGCGTACAATCCAACAACCCCCAGAAGTGTAGTGGTAATACTGATCGATAATCTTGAGAACAACAGTCAATAAAATACGCGAATGTAGATCCGATCAGAGGACAAAGACCATCACGACGAGACTAGACCTTGACGTGGTGTGATGGCTTGTGCATCTCTGTGACCCAACGAGCTACACATGATGGCTTTATAAAGCCAGAAGATCTTATCATGCCTAGAAGGTCAATGGGTAGAGGTCAGACAAAGTTCAGTCTTCTGGTCCTCCAGGGGTTCACCTGGAATTTGGCGTTTCAGTCGATAAAAGACGG